TCTTGATCAACCGGATCAGAAGGAAAGGGAGGCGAATCGCAAGTGGCAAGCTCATCATTGTTTAAATTAGAGCCAAGAAACTCAGCCTCAGAAGACGATTTCTGCTGATGATTTTTCGCCCTGGAGGTGCTTTTCTTATCTTTATACTCCAAAGACCCTTGATCCAATAGACTGGTCTCGAAACAGTATTCGGTTTCAACATCATCAGAAGTCTTCCTCTTCTTTCTTCTCATCGAACGGGCCGAATCATCGTCTTCGTAAAAACAATTACTTTCTGTGTCTTGTGGAAATTGCCTCTTCAAAGCATGCCTCTCCGAAGCCGTATGTTCCTCTCCTGACCTAATGTTTCCCTCAGGAAGTTCATTTTCCACAAGCCCTGCTACAAAATCGCAATTATAATCCCAAATTTCGAATCGCTGTTTAATTTTATCTTTCCCTTTTCCTTCAGAATTTTCTAACGTTCCGTCCTGTTTAGCCGGCCATCCCACCTCGGATCTCTCACTTATTTTTTTCAAGGAAATAGGATCCATCTCATTTTTGCACATAGAGGCATCACTGTAAAGAATTTGGTCGTCGAAATCCATCTTTTCTACTTCAACTGCAGTATGGCCCCTTCTACTCTTTTTGCTCGTCCTGTGTTTGGTATCCGACTGATTGCTACACCTCAGGGTATCTTCCGATCTGCCATCAGGTGAAGCCAATTCATTAGATGCTTCCTTCTCCCAAGTCGCATTTTCCTCTTTGAGGTTGATCTGGAGTTCATGCTGGCAGTCCTTCTTCTTCTTCTTCTTTTTCTTCATTCGTTCATACTCTGTCACATCTTGATCATTCAATTTGGTAAGTTGCTCTGGCGAATACCCGGTTTGATGACCAAGGCATTTCGATGAATCAGAGATAAGAGCATCCTCTGACAGCCTTGTTGGGCTCTCTGATAAAGCAACTTGAAAGGGCAAAGGCGAAGAAATCGAAGTGGATAAAAAAAGGAACGGAAAGTTGAGATGAAACTGCTTCAAAGGAGCCGGGTCATAGGTTAGTGTAGCCGAGAGGAGAATCTGCAAAAAAGATTTAAAAAATGGAAATAAAAATAGGCCAAATCAACTGCATTAATAAAGACAGCAATTTAGCATTCATGAGGTGTGCCAATTTGCAAATGCCCAAGAATTTAAAGCTAATTCGAATAAAGTGAGAGAAGGCTTGCTAGACGAGCGGAGCAGAGTGCTCTAATGTGTTGCTGCGTGACAAAGGTGGACTGATGAAAAGTGTAATCATTAAGCGAAGAGAAATGAGGATCCAAAACGAACTGGCACCTGATACTATTTGAACACATCGTTCGTCTGGTATTTCTGTAATAATCTAATTATACTAGAGGAAAATAGCTTCACGAATAATGTCTTGAAGAGTCCTACATTGCCCTGGCTCACAATACTTGCTGATGATATTTTCTGTCTATTTTGAGATGTGTTCATCCTACTTGGTTAAGTTATGAAGGAGTAATAGCTGATTTTTTCCACAATCTCGTGAATAGACCTTACATTTCCATTGAATTTCACATGGCAAGGCTACGTAAGGTAAGGTCTACTCTTATGATTGTGGGAAAATTTAATTACCAGTCCTTTATCACCTTATATCTCACATAAATGAGCTGGTGGTAATATCTAAAACCTACTTATGAACTAAAAATACGGAAACAGTTGTCCCCACATCCACTTTATTTACATGCTTTGATCTGCACCATCTACAACCAGGTATATTGGGCATGAAATAGCCAACCAAATCATGTGATGCCTTATTAGGATTGCTAAATGAGACACAAGACGTGAGTGTCATTGCATCG